CTTAGATATCCACATCTGCCCCACTTCTGCAGTACTGTAGTTGCAGTCAGTATCGTCTTTAGAAGCTTCAGTGCTTCTAAAGTTTATACTGCAAACAGGAGGGTCAGCATATTAAGGAGAATAACAAAACCAACTGTTAAAGTTACCGGTTCCAACACTGTTTCTGAACTCAGAGGGTAGAAAGTACCATACATTTCCTCTAGATTAAAAAAAAACTCTCACAATACCTTATATTAAAAAAAAATCAGCCTATGTATGTAACTATCAATGGTGACTGAAATAAGGAAGCGGGCAACTCAGTCCGTCATTTCAGGTCAATTTTTTATTATTTAAAGTAGGAAAGCAGCTAATTCATGGGTGTTCAATGTTTTGCTTACCTGGGCCGTAAAGAAGAATAGTCTTGGGCTGCATATGAATATATAATGTAGTTAATGCATATAAATAACAAACTTCTACCATATGTATAGTACAATACATTGCATTGCATTATATTGGGGCCGCATGCAGCCCATGGCTCACAGGCTGCACATGCCTGAGTTAAACTGGAATCCTGATGGACATGTATTTGAATCTAATGTTAGTCGAAGTTGGAACTACATTTACTTTTTTATTCAATAACTGTATTTAATATTGTATACTATATATCTGTGATGGTGAACCTATGGCATGAGTGCCACAGGTGGCACACAGAGCCATTTGTGCGGGCACACGAGCCCCAGGCAAACTTACCTCACTGCGCAAGCTGACGCCTCCTGGCTGATTTTCAGCCCGTTTGAGGCCCTTTTCGACCTGCCAGAGGCTTGAAAGAAGCCTCTGCAGCCTTTGCAGGCTGAAAAATAGGCCCGTTTTATCACTTCCGGTATTTCTGGAAATACGGGAAGTGATGAAACGGGCCTCCTTTTCAGCATGCAAAGGCTATAGAGGCTTCCTTCAAGCCTCAGGCAGGCCAAAAAAGGCCTCAAACAGGGCAAAAATCAGCTGGGAGTGCAGTGCAGGTAAGGGGGCGGGGGGAATCGTGCGCTCATGCGCAGGGGATGTGGGAGGGCCGCGTGCATTGCCTTCTGGGTGTTTGCATGCAAGCATGCAAGCATGCACACAATTTTTGGCACAGGAGCCCAAAAAAGTTAGCCACCACTGCTATATATGCACTTATGCATGTCTGCAGTGATGTAAAAAATAATTAAAACAAAATAATTTTAACAATGAAAAAATTAACAGAACCTATAAATTATATTCAACATTTCCCAATATCCCATCTTTTCCTCTGCGTTCTAAATAACTTTTAGAATCGTTCATCACTTTTCAAGGACATGAACAAAGGCAACCAAAAGTTCACAAGATATATTTCATACAACTTTCAACACCTTCTTTCGAAGAAATTTTCCCTAATTAGTATAGATATGGACTCATTTTTTAAAAATAGTCAAATAAAAAATACTGTAAAGATATAAAATATTTCAGTTTCAATAATGTTCAAACTTCAAAGAGTCTGATCAATACTAACCTAAAAGTAAATCTTGCCTATCACTGACAGGGGAGCCATGCTCATTCTCATACCATGTAATTTACAGATACAATATCTGAGCCTTTTTGTACTATTGTACTACAATTTCTCCTCTAGATTACAAAATGAGCTATATCTGTGAAATAATAAGTTCAAATATTTGTAAAATATTTGTGATAATGTAAACACTTAAGAAAAATCATATAGATTATTCAGAACTAATGAAACACAAGGACTGTTTCAAACATTACAAATCCCTATTAAAGATTGTTCTTTTGTGTATAAAATAAAACATCTCACACAAGCTTCCCTATGAATGGCAGTTATTTGTCTGTCTGTCTGTGTGTGTGTGTGTATAAATATAGGTTACAGGCATTTCTTAAAACTTTCTAGCAAATAGTGAATAATACAATTTATCCAAAAGGAAGATGTGTCAGGACACAAGTGCATAAAAGTGGGATTTGCATCGTGATGTTACAATGCAGATCTAATTTTGGTTTGGTGTGGATGCCTGTGCTGGATGTTAAAAACCCCACTCACTCACAAAGTTTGTTGCTTGACTTTGAGGCAATTACTCTTTAGATCAATCTACTTTTTAGACTGTTATGATTTCAATATTTAAGGAGCTCCTTGTGGTAAGCTGCCTTGAGCTTTCACAAAAAGGGTGCAAAAGGTGGGATATTAATACAAACAAAAATAACAATAAAATATCCCAAAACAGCTCTGAACATTGGTAAAACAAAAGCCTTTCTTCTAGCCAAGAAAATGACCCTCAAGTAAGTAGTTATTTAGAATTATAACCTCTACATGATATTAGATAAATGCATTGAACACCTAATTCCAACAAGTAGAACCTTAACCAATAAAACTCTAGAAATCTTATGCCATTTTGGGTTTTTGACTCAGCACTACCAGCCTTCTTTTCCCGCTTATCATGCAGGGCAGCATCAAAAATGGTTTTTGATCAAAATATATTCTCTATATATTTAATCATTACACCATCACTTTCTTTGTTCCTTTTCTCTTTTTTAAAAAAAAAAAAACATCTTCTTGTCTGTCCTTCCTAGCATAGCATCCTTTCTGGTTCCTAAATTCCTCCCACTCTTGCTCTTTTCTGGCCTTCACCTTAATTCCCCTTCAATTCCTCTCTTTCAGTCCACTGCTGACTCCATACCTTTTCTTTATTCTCCTTGTTATCAGATCTCCTTGTTTTAATGTCTCAGAGTCTCACCTCAATCAACTGGTCTTTCCTTGTCCAGAGATAATTAATCTTTTCTTTCTTTCTTTTTTTTTTTAAAAAAAAAGTCTTGGCTATAAATTATCCTGCCCCTTGAGCAATTCAATATTCCAGACAATTGTAGTATCTGTATTAAAAGCTTCAATGGCACAACACAACACATAGCTATTGTGTTTTCAGTTATAGATAGCTTTAATAACTGCTTAGTTCAGTGAATCTAGATCCTATTTTTCACAATTAAGAAGTAATAAAATCAGTTATCTTTTGATTCTATTTCTTAATTTTTCTATCAATATTTTAGTTTTTAGAGCAATTCAAATATTATACAGCTATCTTACAATTTGGTTTTTAAAATTATTTAAAAATTGAAAATAGAACAACACATTCAAATATATACTCAAATAAGAACTAAATTCATTAACCCCAAACAAACTATTAATAGTAGGAACTATTTAAAATAAAAAATAAGAAGAAAACTGGTCACATCCAATATTGCATGTGGCCATTTCTATTTTGTAGCTACTATATTAGCAACATGGTGATCTTAATTGTTCTTGCCAACTTCATTGCTCTATTTAGCAGATATATGAGCAAGATCTTCATTAGTGGCCCTTAGGCCTAGGCCATTTAGTGCACATATAAGCAGTCTTTCAGTAATTGTGTTTCAAGTTATGCCTTTCAAGGCCATGCTCCAATTACAAAAAGATGAAAATAAAAACTCCCTTATTTACAGGTACTGTCCACTTAATTCCTAAATGGAAAGCTTTTCCTAAAGGCAAAAGTAAGAAGCCATCTATTGTGCTGTCCATCAGCAACTGGTGCTGATTTACCCAAGTAATAACCAAGGAGTATGGCTCAGGCACAGTTTTGCCCCACAGTTGACTTCCATTTTGCAGCTCAGACTGGAGTTCCTGCCAACACCAACCAAAAAACAATCATGCAAGATGGATGTCTTTTAGATAATATAATTCCCAGCAGAGAATCTTCATGTGATAAATTCCTTCTCAGAAAAGGTCTAATGATCAGCCTTCTTTTTTCATCATGGCAGTTTGGCTGTCCCAAATGAAACCCAGACCTTTTAATATCTTACGCACTTGCCTTGCGCCTCTTGAGATTTGCTGTTTTTCTAATAGCCATCTAATTAAAAGTCACTTTATTAGTTACCTTGTCATAAAGAAACATCTTGCCTTTCTTGGATTGTTACACCAGCGAATGAACAGATGTACTGTTTACATTATTTCTGTTTCAATCTAGTCATTATCCCTCAGGATTTAGGAATAATAAAAAGCAGCATTAGAGACATTTTTAGTTTGACAAGTTTTAACTGTCATTCACAGGCTAAGCTACACATTACAGGAAGTTAAACTATAGGTTGGTTTCTTTTGTTCTAATTTTGTGTGTTCTATGAAATGCATTCCCGTGATTTCTAAATCATGATTTATCATTTAACAAGTTAGATGAGCCCCTCATAATATGGTTTAATCAGTAAACCATTATTAAAGAAACTACAACTTAACAAAATGTGTCAACCCATACAGGCCTATAACCTCAGCACTACAATTCCATAGAAGCTTCCCTTTCCCACTGGCATATTACAGCTGCCATTGGGGTCATACTACTAGTATGGCCAAGGGATGCCAAACACGTCTCTAGCGGATCTAACAATGATGTGAGATCGGTCACAAAAAGTTATTAAAGTAAACCAAGGCTAAAAACGCTGAACTCAGCTACACGACTTTTTTTTTTTTTTTTAAAGAAGTGCTATCGGTCACTTGACGACGGACCTCAAATGGCTGTTGCAAATTTGAATAAGATCACCACCGTAAAATATACAGCACCAGAGTCAACATATATTCTAGAAGTTAATTTCTCCAGGGGAAAGAAACTCCAGCCTAAGGAATTTATTCCTGATCCTTTTCTTTTGCAGACCGGGTTGGAGAGGTGGTGGTGGTGAGGGTGCTGCTGCTGCTGCTGCTTGCCGCTGCAGCGAGAATACCTGCACTACGGCCAAACTGAGCCTATGCGCGCCCACAGAGCAAACCTACGCGAGGTTGACGCTACAGGCGACCACCCGCTCTGGGGAATTCGCGAAAGCAACCCAGGGAGCAAGACCCCACATCGAGCCTTCTCCTTTCCGATCGAGCTTCGGGGGGGGGGTTTCCCTGCGAAGGGGCGAATCAACCGGCTAAGGAGGAGAGGCCCCTTCCCTCCCCGCCCGGATCTCTCGGGAACCCTCCCGCGCCGATCCCGGGCACTTACTTTTCCACCGGGCCCTCTTCTCCGAGGGAGGGAGGGAGGGAGGGAGGGCGGAGGGAACGGCTGACCGAGCCAACCAACCAACCTATCCTGCCTACCTTCCTCCGCCTCCGCGCGCGCGCGCGCCTCAGCCCCCGCTGCCGCTTCTCCGTTCCCACAGGCGCTCCGCTCGCAGCCGCCGACAATCTAACCAACCCGGTTCAGCACCCGATGCGAGGACCTGCCTCTTTTCAGCCTGTCCAATCCCGACAGCGATTGCAATAGGGCGGGGAACGACAAAGGGGCGGGTAAGTGAGCAACCAACCCGAGGGACAGCTCAGCCTTCTGGAACTTAGCCAAGAGTTTTACCAATAAGAAAAAAAAGAAGCAGCCGCAAAAGTCCCGCCCTCCCAGCATTGACCGCACGATAGTTAAGCCAATCAGAAGTCAGAGAAGGAAAACGCGTTCAATTTTTTTTCCCTTTCAGCCGCACAATGTCCCACGGTCAGGAATTGCCGCATGCGTACGTGAATCTACCCAATAGCCTCGTTTATGTTTGCGCGCATCACATTTTTCAGTCGCGCGCGTCAATAATTGCTCGTGCGCTACGCGGTCATCTTTTTTTTTGTTTGTTAGCCCGGGCGTACGCAATCTCGGTGCGTTGCTATGGTGATGAGGAAGCTTGCGCCTGCGGCCTTCTGAGCTTCATCTCTAGTCCGAGCGGCTTGTTGTTGTTGTTTTTAGCCCTCTCCTGAAATTAGTCCTCATTATCCTGCTTGGAGATATACATCTTTCTTCTGTCAAAATGAACACCGCAGTGTTGCGCCGGCTTTATCACTGTAGCCATATATGATTAATTTCTTGTAACTAACAAAGCTATCCAGAGTCCAGAGTGATGGGTGATGTAGTCCAGAAGCCGGGGGTCTTTGATGTGTGTCTCATCCTGATTTTGTGTCCGCAATAAATTGAATGATAAACATCATCCAAACGTCTTAGATTACATCGAAATCTTACCTCGCCCCACTGTATTAAAATTAGGAAGTTGCAGAAGACATTTGGTTTTCTTTCTGAACTGAAATCTTGTCATTTCCTGGTAATTAAGAAGACAGATATCAGGGACATGCTGGGCTAAGTTGTGAAAGAGTTGAACCAGCCATTTTAGACAAATGAACTTCAATATGGTAGTTATTTGCATTCAGCAAGTGCAAGTTTGCATTTATATTGAAATATTTGCATTATTATGCTTTTTTTATTTAAGAATCCATTTGTCCAGAAAGCATTAGTTGAAAGATTGTGGAACAACTAAGGGAATACTCTAAATTAGTATCAGAAGGCTGCAGTCTAATGGTTTGTGTATGACCTTATTGTTCATAAAATTATAGAGTTGTGGGTTCGAGTCCCACCAGAGTCACCAATTGAGGAAAGGAAAAGGAAGCCTTGCCCTTTAAGGAAAAAGGCAAAGTTCTTTCCTGTTGTGGATTCAAACTTCCTTGCTGGGAGATTTTACTGCAAAATCATTTGGTCGGCTTCATTGGAAGCTAGAATCAGTTTATTAATAGGAAGGCAAATAAGAATAAACCCTACAGCGTTCCTGAGATTAATAAGTGAGTAGGAAAACCTCTTTCTTATACACTTCAAGTTCTTTGATTTTGTAAGTGTGAATCTTTGAAGGCTTTGATTTGTGTTCGAGTTCCTGTTTCTTGAGATTGGGATCTCTTCCTGGGATCTTGGTAGGAGTAATTGTTTTATAGTCCAATCTCTGTTTTTCCCTGATCCTTTGTAGCTATCAGTTTGCACCTGGTTGCAATATCCTGAGTTTCCTGTTATGTTGTTTGCTTTTCACAAGTTTTTTGTAGCTTGCTATCTATTTGATTTCTATGGGAAAGGATCCTAGCTAATGTGTATCCTATGCAAAAGTGGGGGCTAATGGAGCTGTCCCTGCTTGTGTTTTCACCTCTCCTTTCTTTTAGGGGAATTTTCCTCTCCCTTCTAATGTTTTAATATTTATTTTCTTTTCCTAAAAGAGAGGGGAATCATAATTTCCAACAGCAGTAACCAAGTTATTTCTGGCAGACAGTGATATAGCTTTCACTTGAAGACATGGACTGAAGATGAGATTACCAGAGATTATCCCTGGTTCTATTGTTGATTTAATGTAACCATTTTCTAGCATTCAGTTAGAATCTGTTTTGCATTTACAACAAAAACCTAGACATTGGCCAGGCCAGCCCAGCCCATGTGGTTTCTATTCATGTGGTTTTCTTGGTAAAGATGCAGCACTATTCACATCCTTTTTGAGGTGTAGTAACCAAACTGCACACAATATTCCAGATGCAGTTGCACAATTTTTATAAGGACATCATGAAATTGGCATCTCTACTTTTTCACCTTGCACCTGCCTACAGACAAAGACTTAAAACCATTAAACCAACAATTAAATCAGTGAAGACTTGGTTGGATGAGGCAAAGCTGAAACTCCAGGCCTGCCTTGATTGCACTGATTGGAATGTTTTTGATGCCTCTGCAGACCTAGATGAGCTCACAGATACTGTAACATCATATGTTAGCTTCTGCGAAGACTTATGTGTACCAACAAGGAACCTGCAAATATATAATAACAATAAACTTTGGTTCACAGCTAAACTTAAGCAGATACGTTGTTCCAAAGAGGAAGCCTATAGAAAAGGTGACAGAATGCTATACAACCAGGCCAGAAACATATTAACAAGAGAGCTCAGAGCAGCAAAAAGAAGCTACTCTGAAAAGGTAAATAATCAATTCTTAACAAATGAACCAGCAAACATGTGGAAAACTCTTAAAAAGATCACTGGCTTCAGCAAACCACCTTCCCAGGCAGAAGGAAATCAACAACTAGCAGATGACCTGAATGTGTTTTACTGCAGGTTTGAAAAGAAACTACAACCTATCTCCACAACCCACATCTCAAACACACCAACAACAGCCAAGCCTCCTACAACTGGTCCCCATCCATTGGGCTCACAACCTCTGGTGATCACAGAAAAAGAAGTACAAGATCTATTACACAGACAGAAGCCAGGAAAAGTACCAGGGCCAGACAAGATAACTCCTTCTTGCTTAAAAGTCTGTGCTGACCAATTGGCCCCCATCTTCATCTGAATCTTCAATAGATCACTAGAGATGTGCTATGTTCCTCCCTGCTTCAAATGCTCTACTATCATCCCAGTGCCAAAGAAGCCCTCCATCAAGGAACTGAATGACTACAGACTAGTTGCTCTAACATCTGTAGTTATGAAAATCTTTGAAAGGCTTGTGCTGTCCCACCTGAAAACCACCATGGATCCACTGTTAGATCCCATGCAGTTTGCATACCGAGCAAATAGATCGACAGATGATGCTGTTAACATGGCTCTGCATTACATCCTACAACACCTTGAATCTCCAAATACCTACGCAAGGGTCCTCTTTGTAAACTTCAGTTCAGCATTCAATACCATCATTCCAGACACTCGTCTAAGTAAATTAAACCAACTAGCAATACCTGAACCCACTTGTAAGTGGATCATAACAGACAGGAAGCAGCAGGTGAAGCTAGGCAGAATCACATCTGATACCTGTACAATCAGCACAGGACCGCCCCCCCCAAGGCTGTGTGCTTTCTCCACTTCTCCCCTACATACCAATGACTGCATCTCAAACTATCCATCTGTTAAAATACTGAAGTTTGCTGATGACACAACAGTGATTGGTCTCATTCGAGACAACGATGAATCTGCATACAGACAGGAGGTTATACTACTTGCCTTGTGGTGTAACTGGAACAATCTGGAACTGAACACACTCAAAACCGTAAAATGGTGGTAGACTTTAGAAGAAACCCTCCCATACTACCACCTCTTACAATACTAGACAACACAGTATCAACAGTAGAGACCTTCAAATTTCTAGGTTCTACTATATCACATGACCTAAAATGGACACCTAACATCAAAAACATCATTAAAAAAGCACAACAAAGAATGTTCTTTCTGTGCCAACTCAGAAAGCTCAAACTGCCCAAGGAGCTGCTGATACAGTTCTACAGAGGAATTATTGAGTCTGTCATCTGCACCTCTATAACTGTCTGGTTTGGTTCTGCAACCCAACAGGACAGACACAGACTTCAGAGGATAATTAGGACTGCAGAAAAAACAATTACTACCCACCTGCCTTCAATTGAGGATCTGTATACTGCACGAGTCAAAAAGAGGGCTGTGAAAATATTTACAAACCCCTCACATTCCAAACATAAACTGTTTCAACTCCTTCCCTCAAAACGACACTATAAAGCACTGCACACCAGAACAATTAGACACAAGAACAGTTCCCCCCCCCCCGAAAGCCATAACTCCGCTAAACAAATAATTCCCTCAACACTGTTCAACTATTACAAAGTCTACACTACTATTACTGTTAATCTTCTCATCACTCCTTATCACCCATCCCCTCCCACTTGTGATTGTAGGACGGTAACTTTGTTGCTTGTATCTGTACAATTTATATTGACTGTTTCCTAGTATGATTTTATTGCTTATTGTACCCTATGACTATCATTAAGTCTTGTACGTTATGATTCTTGATTCTTAATGAATGTACCTTTTCTTTATGTATACTGAGAGTATTTACACCAAGACAAATTCCTTGTGTGTCCAATCACAGTTGGCCAATAAAGTCTTCTCTTCTCTTCTCTTCTCTTCTCTTCTCTTCTCTTCTCCTCTCCTCTATTCTATTCTATTCTATTCTATTCTATTCTATTCTATTCTATTCTATTCTACTTTCAGCACTGTTTCTTATTAGTCATAACATGCTGTGCACTTTCTTTTTTTTACAGTAAATTCCTTTGGAAATCTTTTTTATGTCCAGGAATAATTTCATGTCATCAGCAAACCTGACCTTTTTGAACACTGATGTTGGAGAAGACTCTCATGATTACCATGGGCAGACAAAGAAACATACAAATGGATCATTGAACAAATCAACTCACAATTCTAATTCAAGGCACAAATGACCAGGCAAATAATGGATACATTTTGTGAAGGCCTAGCTTCCTGGAGAAGATTCAGATGCTGAGA